AGGATATTTTTGCAATGATTTTCTCATCAACTGGAGGCATTCTTACTGTTCATTACTCATTTTATGTACTTAACTAATTTATGCATTCCTTATATTTATTATTGATAAATTAATTATCCATAATTGTTTGATTTTTGCCCCCTACACAACCAAGACTTTAATTAATTTAGAATTTCTTTCATTTTTCTTTTTTTTGTGTTTTTTGATTCTTATTTAAACATGTCTTTTCTTCTGTTTTTCTAAAATTTGTTTTGGAATTTCTTTTTCAATTATAATTTTCTTTTATTTTGAAGAGTAAAAACAAGAACAGGAAAAATAAAAGCAATGACAGCAATAAGGTAACATGTAACAATATATATATATTATAGATTTTCAAAACAAGAAAGCTGATTAACAGTGATTGATATATTATCTATTTTTATTGTCAAATCTATTGCTCAGTTTAATAGATATAGTTATGCAAGATGGGACATATGATTGAATATTTCCACGTGCTTTCAAGAAATCTTAAATTTTTGTTCTTTTTTTCCCCATTATTTTATTAAGAGACAAATAGCGATGAGACAGTTTCAAACCAAATTGGTAGGACAGTTTCAATAATTAACACATTGCATACATTCTTCTTAGTGGTTATTTGCTGTACAAGATGCGGACATGATATCCTATTTACAAACACTATTACAACAAATCCCTCTATTCATTAAGAGAATGTAACTATATATCTATCCTAACCACTTTGAATACACAGATACAAAATGGACATTCATCTGTATCTCATTTTTTTGTTTAGTTCCGTAATTTGAATATTATAAGTGTGTTAACTCAGAAAATAGTCTAAAAGAGTCCAGTAGTCCATAATAGTATTGGGTCTTCCTCTTGACTGGCAGCATCAGAAATTGTTGACCTCAGTCCCCTACAGCTCAACATAACAGCATGGCTTTACTTCTTATATTTCATTTTTATACTTTTCTGCTGGATGGTTAAGACCAAGGTAAAGCAAGACTTATGCAAGAAGAGTTGTAGCTTTTGGGTCTGATAAGGTCAATCTAATCCCCTCAAGATTTATCCGGAGATCCTGTATCTCCGATTGTAGAACCTTTGTCAGTGTTAGCCATGTGATGAGTCATGGCCATTGCTTGGCCAATGTGCTCTCTGTGAAAGCCTTAGAGAATGTTTTCTCTCCATGTGACTCTCCTTAAGCATATTCTACATCATCGATCACATTCCTCTTTGGCCCCAAATTTTTGTTCTTGACTCATTTTTTATTACTTTTTTAAAAAAATTACTTTAAAGAGAGTAAAATAATAATTTATATGACCATAGAAATGGTACACATTTAGAAGATCAAGATGACAAGTATTTCAAGCATGATTTGAGTAAAGAATTAACAACTGAGACCTCCTCTTATTGAGAAGTTTCTGCACCTCAAAAGAAATTACCAACAGGGGCCGGGGAGATGGCTCAGTAGAATAAGCACTTCCCTGGCAAGCACAAGGGTCTGAGTTCAATCCTCGGTACCAGAAAAGAAAAAAAAAAAAAAAAAGAAATTACCAACAGAGGGAAAAGCTGACCCACAAATTTGGAAAAAATTTTAACTCAAAGGTCTTCTATATAGAATACATAAAGAACTAAAAAAAATCAGGGCTCCAAAATTTAAAGATCCAATCCAAAAATGGACTTCTAAGATGAATATACACTTCCCAGAGGAAGAAGTACAAGAGACAAATAAATACATGAAAAAATGCTCCACATCACTGGTCATTTGAGAAATGCAGATTAAAACAACATTGAGATACCATATCACCCCAGAAAGAATGGAATTTCTATTTAGCAAATATTGTATTCACATATTTCCATTTTTTCCTTTTCAATAATGTGTTTAAAATTTTCTCCTTCACTGCTATTTTTCAGTGATAATCTGAAATTATGATTTTGATTTTTTATTTAAACTAAAATTATGTATTAAAGAAAATTTAATTTTGTTTCTAATAATTTTATTGTGTTTTGCAATTGAATTCAGTTCAGTCAGAGAATGCTATTTATATCATTTCTACTTTGGGGAACTTAACATTTATTTTAAAAAATATGATGATTAACTGTGATCTCTATGGATCCTTGAAAAATGCATTTCTTTGTTAAGTTTTGATATTTGACATGTGCCTATTAATTACAGATATATCTGTTCATCTTTATGCTTGGCTAAATTTTGTCTTTTTGATCCATAACAAATGAAAATAGAGTATCATCTTTCATTATTATCTTCTTCTAAATATATTGTCAAGCTCAGCGATTTATTATTTAATGCTTATATTTGTGATTTCATGAGACATTTTGACAAGACTCTAGCTTTTGGCTGAGGGAGGGTGTGGGACTTCCCATAGTAGGGCATCTTCTGGTTGGAGCTCCAGTGAGAGACTGCCTGTACCTCAGCCAAGTGTTGGGGAGATTGGGCACAACACTGGCTATTTTTCTGGGGTGCCAGGGCACAGAATCTGGGGGGCCCCTCAGCTGGTTGTTTCAGAGCTCATGCAGATAGCTCAAGGCTGTAGCTATCTGGGCTCAAGCCTTTTTGCTTCCCTGCAGAGCCCACATGGTTCCAAGTTGAGCCTGACTGGGCGGCTGGGCTGGTGGAAGCAAGATGTTCCCTTATCTCCTCTTGTGTGGCTCTTCCAGCGTTCTGTTCCTTCTTTGTTACCATTTTGTTGTTTTTATTGAGATTTAGTTGTTTATCATTTGCCCCTGTCCTCCAGGGTGTGTTTAGGAGGAGAGGCTCACTTGGAGAGAGGCTCACTTGGAGAGAGACTAATCTCAGTGAGACCTCTGAAGCTACATTCATCGGGTCTTCTCGTCGTTTCTTTCAGCACTGACCAGAAACATACAACAAGTGGCGCACAACCCGGGGCACGGAAGACGACCAGGGGACCGCTCTCCATTATGCCTCTGCATGTGGCCAGCCAGAAGTAGTGACTCTCCTGGTAGAGAGGAAATGTGATATCAATGCCCATGACAGTGACAGTAACACCGCACTGATTAAGGCTGTGCAGTGCAACCAGGAGCACTGTGCGGCCATTCTCTTGGAGCATGGTGCAGACCCGAACATTGCAAACGCCAGGGGCGACACTGCTCTCCATTATGCCGTCTACAGTGAGACCACAGCCATAGCAGTGAGGCTTCTTTCACACAGCGCAGACACTGAGGCGAAAAACAAGGATGGCCTCTCGCCACTTTCACTTGCTCTGAAGGAAAATAGACAGGAAGTGGCAGAATTATTTCAAAAAGCTAAAAGAAATACTGAAGAAATGGATAAGCCGGGAAGTGAGCCTGCCTTGCCTTTGAGTAAAGTACAGAAGAG